AGACCTATATGCAGAGGCAGGAGGACCGGATGGAGTCCCTCCATCCGCGGCCAGATGTTCATATTGGATACCTTCAGGAGCTTCTCTCTGCACGCCGCTCCTGCCTACCAGTTCCCCACCACTGCTGACTATCATGCTTACACTGGGTGGCCTGGGGACTAGGCTCCTCACTTTGGGGGGGGTGGAGCTGTTGCCGATGCTGATGATGCCGAGGAGGATGGAGCACCAGCTGCGGATGATGACCAGATGCCTTAGCCTACTTTTATTGTTTTTGTTGCAGTTTAATTTTCTATCTTTCATTTGCAATGTTTAACTATTTTTGTCCCAAAACTCTATTATTATTATATTTAGTTTCTTTTTGGTGATTACTGCACAATGCTAAAACCCTATTTCCTCAACTCGGAACGACGCCGTTTACTTTAAACTCTAACTCTAATTACCTATACACCGTTAGGATAAAGATTTTTACGCTGATAACTAATTATATCTTTTAACTGTGTTATGTCACTATAAACATATTTATTTTAATTAGTAACATAATACAATTAAAAGATATAATTGATTGTCAATATAAAATTTTTTTATACTAACAGTATATAGATGATTAACTCTTCTTTTAAACTCGATTCATATCCAGGTCGAGTGTAATTATTATATGCAGATCCAACTCAGATATAATCTATATATAATTACTCACCTATATCAACCAAAATTAAAGTTTTTGTATTTTAATTCCTACATAATATTGTAGCAATAATAATAATTATTATTATCAAACAATATTTTTTTATAAAACAATAAATATTTACAAAAATGTTGGCCAGACAACATTTCAAGGCTCAAGAAAAAATTAATTTTAAAAAGTTATGCTACTGTTTTTTATTAACTATAAAAATTATAACATAGAAGTAAATATTTTTATTATTTTTTCTATATTATAAACCCAAATTTAGTAGGTCCAATAGAAAAAAAATCAATTAAATTTAATAAAATTCTCATCAATCTCTATCAAAAGAAAAAATATATACATATATAATAAATATACGTTAATCTCTTTGACATAACATGTATGACATGTAAATAGATTTAGATATAATATCTCGCATACAATTATCAATCATTTAAAAAAAATTAAATAATCTTATGTATCGCACGATGAATTCAAACTCGATACCATTGTTTAAAAGACCTCTTTCACATTGATTAATCTAGGTCTTAAAGTAATAATATCACAATTTGCTTAGCTTCAAAATTAGAGAGATTTTAGCGAATTGTCTCTACCACTTTTAATATTTTTTTATTATTGACAAAAACTTATTAAAAATTATAAATTTTGATAAATCATGTGTTTTATAAGCAATTTTTTTAATGAAAAATGCTGACTAATGATCTTAAGATTGTGGTTAAGAAATAAAAATATAAACATTTTATTTAGAAGTATATTTACAATTTTCTTATGTAACTTTATTGTAGTTTTTAGAAGACCTTTCTACATCGTATTTGTTAGTGTTAGGAAAAATTACGCTGATCTTTCCCGTAACTTCATATGAAATATGTTTTACTTTTACACTATCTGGAGAATGTATATCTTAATCCAAGTGTAACAGCCCAGCAACCCGCATGTGGATATTGTCCGCTTTGGCTGCAGCCCTCACGGTTTTACTTCTGGCAATGGCACGCATGCCACCCCAAAACGCGTCCACCCAAGGAAGGTATCCACACCCATATATATGGCATGCTTCGTTCTCCTTCCTAACCGATGTGGGACTTCACAATC